ACCTTGACGATTGTTTTCAGCAGACAACAATATTTTCCTGTCATTGGGGCCTCGGTATTAATGACAATAACAATAAACAGTAACTGGAGTTTATATCAGCGACAGTAGTTAACATAAGAGAGGATTATCTTGATGTGTAATTTACGATGTGATTTTGTTTTGTTGGTGTTTTTATATTGAAGTGTGTTAATGACAGGTGAAGACCTGGTGGACTTAACCCGTACTACTCTATAGTACGGTGATTAATCTTAAATACGGTGACTTAACTCTTGAGCAGGATTATTCATCTCTTGATTACGATGACTTAATTCTTGAGTACGATGTGCAACAAAAAAAGATAACTTCGAAAAATATCCGCTAGAGGGCAACACCGTAGTACATGACGTCAGGGTAAACAACAACACAAACGACTTCCATTAAAAAAAAAAACTAAAAAAGAGAATTTGAGAATTTCTTTGATAAAACAAAATTGCCAGTAAGTCGTAGTAAAATATAACAATGTGCACGAGGACCAACTTTAATCCCTGTGTTATGATCGCCGAAGCACGACTGCAATCATAATAGAATAGCCAGACAGGTTATGTGACGGGAAACTCCACGAACTATGTGAAGAAATGGACATCACGTGGATTTGTTGTCCTTGGTCAGCTGATTCGTCCGGTCTGCAACTGTTTTTTTTCTCTTCTTTGTTGTCATAGAGTTCCTTCAGATGTGTCGTTTGTTTGTTGTTGTTGATGATTTTTTTTGGTAAGGAAGATAATTTTTTTTAAGTTGGAGTTATTATTTGTTGTTGTTGTTTTGTCTGTGTGTTTGTTTTGTGATTTTATTTTTATCCTTGTCTTTGTAATTGCTTTTTTTACGTGATATATTGTATTTGCTGTGTTTATTTTCCCATTTCTTCGTTCTATCTTTGTATATTTTACTGATTATTCTCACCAGTTCGTGTGTTTGTTTGTGAATATAACGATACAGGAGTATTTGTTTGCTTGTATACTTTAGTTACACTGTTTATATTCAACTTTCCTGGTCACTGTCTTTGTTTCCTGTTTATTTGTCTTTTCCTTGTAGATTACGTCACAAATTTACGTTTTTTTTTAGAATATTTTCGTCGAGTATCGCTTAATGATGCGTTTACCGTCGTGTACAGATAAGAGAAGACACACTATTTGTATTCCTGTCTCTTGATGATGGATTCGTGACTAAATTCTCCTCCGTTTCTTTGTTGTTTCTGTCATAATCTTGTTTCCTTGATTATCTCTGTTTATGTTACTAAAGGAGTACTTGATTGTGCGTCTGAGGGGTCGTTTGTCGGAGAGGATCGTGTGAGAATTTGTCCTCAACCTACAGGTGTTTTGGATTTTTATTATTCTATGTTTTTGTTAATTCTCGTGTGTTTTTTTTGTGTTTAATGCGTCATAGAGTGTTAGTTGTGCGTCTCACAGTGTGTTTGTCGAGGTTCAGAATCACTTTATACGCTAGTCTTGTTTAATTGTTTTTGTTTGTTTTTAATTGATAATTTATTCGTACACACACACACACACACACACACACACACACACACACACACACACACACACACACACACACACACACACACACACCAAAACACATCCACACAAAGCCTTCCCCCCACACACACACCTGTCCTGCTCCAGGCTCAGGTGTTGTGCTGGAGGCAGGTGAAGGTGAAGACCAAGGCTGGGGCTCAAGTAAGTCTGATATCCAACAACAACAATAACAATAATATCAACAAGAACATTCAACAATAACAACAACATTCAACAACAACCACAAAACAACAACAATAACAACAACAACATCATCAACAATAACAACAAAACATCAATAATAACAACAACAACCACAAAACAACAACAATAACAACAATAACAACATCAACAACATCAACAACAACTGCAACAATAACGTCAACAACAACAACAAAACATTCAATACAACAACAACATCAACAATAACTGCAACAACAATCAACAACCACAACAACATCAACAATGACAATAATAACAACAAACACATTCAACAACAACAACAACAACAACAAGATGGTCATTGAGTCTCTATGATATTTTTAGCTACGCGCGTGTGTGTGTGTGTGTGTGTGTGTGTGTGTGTGTGTGTGTGTGTGTGTGTAAACGTCGTCTTTCACTGACTGTCTGTTTGGGAATCTACACTAATTTCTACACTTCCTCGTCTGTTTATTTATGTCTGTCTGTCACTGTATCTGTCTATTTATTTCTGTCACTGTATCTGTCTATTTATGTCTGTCACTGTATCTGTTTATTTATGTCTGTCTGTCACTGTATCTGTCTATTTATTTCTGTCACTGTATCTGTCTATTTATTTCTGTCACTGTATCTGTTTATTTATGTCTGTCTGTCACTGTATCTGTTTATTTATGTCTGTCTGTCACTGTATCTGTCTATTTATTTCTGTCACTGTATCTGTCTATTTATTTCTGTCACTGTATCTGTTTATTTATGTCTGTCTGTCACTGTATCTGTCTATTTATGTCTGTCTGTCACTGTATCTGCTTATTTAGTCTGTCTGTCACCGTATCTGTCTATTTATGTCTGTCTGTCACTGTATCTGTTTATTTATGTCTGTCTGTCACTGTATCTGTTTATTTAATGTCTGTCTGTCTGTGTGGAGAAGACAACCTGAAATAAGATCAATAATTCCTCATGATAAACATTCCCTTACGTAACACCCATCCATCCATCCACCCATCCACCCACCCACCCATCCACCCATCCACCCACCCACCTATCCACCCACCCACCCACCCACCCATCCACCCACCCACCCACCCACACCCATCCCACCCATCCACCCACCCACCCATCCACCCACCCACCCACCCACCCATCCACCCACCCACCTATCCACCCATCCACACCCACCCACCCATCCACCCATCCACCCATCCACCCACCCACCCATCCACCCACCCACCCACCCACCCATCCACCCACCCACCTATCCACCCACCCACCTACCCACCCATCCACCTACCCACCTATCCACCTACCCACCTACCCACCCATCCACCTACCCACCTATCCACCTACCCACCTATCCACCTATATCCACATTATTTTTAACTGTTTAACATAACACTAAAACACCTGTTAACACCTTACATTTTAACATAGTGGTTAATTAACAACTTTTTATCACTATAAATCCCAAAAAATAATAGAAATGATAGCTAAGATAAGGAATGCCAGGTAGCGACCACTAACGACCCAACTAGCAAACAAGGTAGTTATAAACAAGGCGCCTGAAGACGCTGGCCCTCACTGCCTCCCTCCACACAGTACTGACTCAGGTGTTGGTCAGTGAGGAGTGGACAGTGACGCTGCTCATATTAACAGTGATTTATCGGTACTGGCAGTGATTTATTGATACTAACAGTGATTTATTGATACTAACAGTGATTTATTGAAATTAACATTGATTTATTGATACTAACAGTGATTTATTGATATTAACAGTGATTTATTGATATTAACGGTGATTTATTGATATTAACGGCGATTTATTGATATTAACAGTGATTTATCGGTACTGGTAGAGATTTATTGATACTAACAGTGATTTATTGATATTAGCAGTGATTTATTGATACAAACAGTGATTTATTGATACAAACAGTGATTTATTGATACTAAACAGTGATTTATTGATGCTAACAGTGATTTATTGATACAAACAGTGATTTATTGAGACAAACAGTGATTTATTGATACTAACAGTGATTTATTGATACAAACAAAGATTTATTGATACTATCAGTGATTTATTGATAAACAGTGATTTATTGATACAAACAGTGATTTATTGATACTAACAGTGATTTATTGATACTAACAGTGATTTATTGATACAAACAGTGATTTATTGATACAAACAGTGATTTATTGATACAAACAGTGATTTATTGATACAAACAGTGATTTATTGATACTAACAGTGATTTATTGATACAAACAGTTATTTATTGATACAAACAGTGATTTATTGATATTAACAGTGATTTATTGATACAAACAGTGATTTATTGATACAAACAGTGATTTATTGATACAAACAGTGATTTATTGATACTAACAGTGATTTATTGATACAAACCGTGATTTATTGATACAAACAGTGATTTATTGATACAAACAGTGATTTATTGATACAAACAGTGATTTATTGATACTAACAGTGATTTATTGATACAAACCGTGATTTATTGACATTACAATAATGATAGTGTTATTACTAATGCGTTAATGTAAACGCTGTCTTGAGTTGATAATGGCTTCACAGGTGTTAAAATGAAAGGACTGGAGATAATTAGCAAAGGCGATTAAAGATAGACAGAAATAGAGAGAAGGATCCAGGTAAATTAGGTAAGTTAATTATAGTTAATTACCAGTTTATTGTTAATGTTATCAGGTGGTATAATTGTTATCAGGTGGTATAATTGTTATCAGGTGGTATAATTATGTGGTGTTAGTTGTTATTCTCTTTAATTAGATATTCTAATTACGTGAAGATTAGGGATCCCAACTTATTTACACCTGATAATTAATTACCATAACGCTACCTGAGGAGTTAGTGTTAGGTTAGGTTAGGCTTAAGGTTAGGTTAGGTTAGATTAGGTTAAGTTAGTAACCTGTACTCGGGTGGAAAACTATTCGGATGTGACCAACTTTATTAGATTTTTAGTTAAATTTATATTAATATAAAAGTTGGAATTTGTTTTATGACAGAGACTTTAATGTGATGTGTTATATAGGTATTTCTTGCCTATTGAACCAAGTAAATAATTGTATGTATTGAGTAATAATCTCAAGGTCAGGTCATTGAGCGTTTTGTTTACATTTGCTCCGCGACTCTAGGTCACCTCGGGTCCTGCCTGGCCTTAAGCATCAATAACTTGTTCCTGGTGTTAATATAAAACTGTAACATGTGGAGAGTTAGTATAGGAGTTACAGAGTTTATCCCCGTGTACCATCTGTTGTACCATCTGTTGTACCATCTGGTGTACGGTCTGGTGTACCATCTGTTGTACCGTCTGTTGTACCATCTGGTGTACCATCTGTTGTACCATCTGTTGTACCATCTGTTGTACCATCTGTTGTACCATCTGTTGTACCATCTATTGTACCGTCTGTTGTACCATCTGTTGTACCATCTGTTGTACCATCTGTTGTACCATCTGGTGTACCATCTGTTGTACCATCTGGTGTACCATCTGTTGTACCGTCTGTTGTACCATCTGTTGTACCATCTGTTGTACCATCTGTTGTACCATCTGGTGTACCATCTGTTGTACCATCTGGTGTACGGTCTGGTGTACGGTCTGGTGTACCGTCTGGGACAAAATTCACTCCCCGTGGTGAACCTGAGTCAAGGGAATGACTCTCCGAACTGACTCACCCTGACTGTTTCATCTCGTTAGGGGTCGATGCTGCTTCAGTTTGGGTGGGAGTAAACTTTTGACCCCGACTGTCTAAGGTGTCCAGTCGGCCTTTCAGTTGTATGTTGTAGTCACTAGTCCACTGTATTCATCATCCAGTATATGACATAAAATTCTATCAGCATATTTGGATAGTTTATTACATTTTTCTTAAATTTTTACCTTAAATAGAGATAAAAGGCCTCAAATTGTCTAGGATCATCTGTGTACCTACAATACAAAGTCTGGGGGATGAAACCGCCAGTAGTTAAGGATACAGGTCAAGGCTGGTTGGTTAGGTTAGGTTAGGTTAGGTTACGTCATTTACTAATAAGATATTTACACCTTGCAGGATCTGTGTGAGGGAGGAAGAGAAGAGGAGCAGCTCAAGAGGACAAACTTAAACCACACCACCAGAGAGGTACTGTGTCCTAACCTTTAGTTCATGTGTTAGTCATTTGGATTTTATTGAATTTTGCCACACAACTCCTAGTTTATTGTGCACCCCATACTCAAGGTGTCACAAAGGGCGTGTATAACCGATATTGTGGCGTCGAGCGTTACAGTATATTTCCAGTACTTTGTTTAGTTCGGCACCCGAGGGAAGGCATACTGCTGTGTGACGTCATATGTTTGGTCTTTCATTTTACATTTAATATTATTCACAATTGCATGAGTGGTAATCCGGTATATTGTATGTATCGTTATGTACTCAGGAGGTGACTTAGCTACAGGTACAGAAAGTGAATGCAGTCTTAATAACCAGTTATCTTGCCAGCAGAGATTAACAGTGCCGTTTCACACACAGTTTGCTTGGACCTGCCCCTGAAAGGTTCTATCTCATAGCCAAGAACGTAGTGTTGGGGTGTGTGGCCATATGTCTGGCCACACACTTTACATTTACTTTTGTTCACATCCGCCTGAGGGCCACACTGCCAGGGGTACTTATATCCTAACCTTAGTCTAGCGGTTACAACATCTTGTAATCTAGTGATCTTGTTACTTGCTCCATATACATGTTTCACTTAACACATCTCATCATGGTAAACAATGGATTGACAAGTGCCTGTTTGCACTTGTCTACTTGCGTCAAGTTCACCACCAAATTCTTTCCAAATCACAGTTTTAAGGGTTCTTTTTGACAGACCCAGACTGTATTCAACAGTGTCTTTGTAAGGCTAGTGTTCTCTGAGGCCTATGTGAGAGAGGATCCACAACAATTTGATCTTGACACAGTCGCCTTATGTGTGACATGTGGAGGTGTTCTGATGTGGTTGCTAGGGGACCTTACCCCTGGTTACTAGGGGAACCTTAACCCTGGTTACTAGGGGGACCTTAACCCTGGTTACTAGGGGGACCTTAACCCTGGTTACTAGGGGAACCTTAACCCTGGTTACTAGGGGGACCTTAACTCTGGTTACTTGGGTGATTTTAGCCCTGGTTACTAGTCTTTATTGTTTGTAAAGGAAGAGAAGGTGAAAGAATATTAGTGGTCGAGAGAGAGAGAGAGAGAGAGAGAGAGAGAGAGAGAGCAGCAACAACAACAACAATGGCTGGGTTATAATCTACAGACAGTAAGGGACAGTAACACTATGTCCTGGCCAGACACACCTTAACCCAATTACCTTCTGCCTAAGTGACACAAAGATTCAATTGCACCCACCCCATTGCCCTGTTGGTGGTGGTGGTGGTGGTGATGGTGGCGTGATGGTGGGAGTAATGTTGGTGGTGGTGATGGTGGTGGTGGTGGTGGTGGTGGTGGTGGTGTGGTGATGGTGGTGGTGGTGGTGGTGGTGGTGATGGTGGGAGTACGGTGGTGGTGGTGGTGGTGGTGGTTGTGATGGTGAGGGTAGTAGTGGTGATGATAATTGTAGTAGTAGTGGTGATGGTGGTAGAAGAAATTGAAAAGGGTGGTTGAGATAGTTGTAAGGGTGATGGTGGTGGTTGTCCCCAGAGAAAACACCTCCCAATACTCCCTCTCTATAAAGAAAACGACCTAACCCTTTCTTCCTCCCCCCTAAACACATCATCTTCCTTTTCTTCTTTTAACTTCCTTCTTTCCTTCCCTTTTTAACACACTTTCCCTTCTAACAGAGTACCCCCTTCTTTCCTATTCTAGTTTTCTGTTACAGCTTCCCTTTCTCTCCGCATTTGCTTTCATTTTTTTTTCCATTTCCTTCCTTTAGTCCTCCCTTCCTCTACTCACTTCCGACGTTTACTCACTTCCTTCATCATCTCCTCATTCTACTCCTCCTTCCTTTCCTCCTCTCACTTCTACCTCCTCTCCTCCTCCCCCACTCCCTCACTGAGAGTGTTAACTCGACTTGATTGATTAATTCAGTCCTCGGGGTGTCTAATAATGTGTGTGTGTGTGTGTGTGTGTGTGTGTGTGTGTGTGTGTGTGTGTGTGTGTGTGTGTGTGTGTGTGTGTGTGTGTGTGTGTGTGTGTGTGTGTGTGTGTGTGTGTGTGTGTGTGTGTGTGTGTGTGTGTATGTGTTGTGTGTGTGTGTGTGTGTGTGTGTGTGTGTGTGTGTGTGTGTGTGTGTGTGTATGTGTGTGTGTGTGTGTGTGTGTGTGTGTGTGTGTGTGTGTGTGTGTGTGTATGTGTGTGTGTGTGTGTGTGTGTGTGTATGTGTGTGTGTGTGTATGTGTGTATATGTGTGTGTGTGTGTGTGTGTGTGTGTGTGTATGTGTGTGTGTGTGTGTGTGTGTGTGTGTATGTGTGTGTGTGTGTGTGTGTGTGTGTGTATGTGTATGTGTGTGTGTGTGTGCGTGTGTGTGTGTGTGTGTGTGTACTGTTTCTCCTGACCAGTGTACAGTCTCCCCTCAGCAGTAACCCTCCCCTTAGTGTGGCATGAGTGTGCTGGCTCTCCCCTCGCCTGGTCAGAGGGCAGCGCTGCCATAGTAATCCCTTTGCCCCCTCACCCCTTTTACTACCCAGGGTCGACAACCGCCACCACCTGCTACGCCAGACTTACGCCAGACGCAGTTCTTTTCTTTCACTAGTCTCTAATCGATGTTATCAGTACCAAGGTTAGGTTAGATTGGGTTAGGTTAGGTAACTTTGGGTAGGTTAGGATTAAGTTACTTTACTTTGGTTGGGTTGAATTAGGTTAGTCGTCACACTTCAAGCGTTCATATCAATTAAGAGTCTGTGTTATAAATGTCTTCTCGTGGAACAGACGGTTAACGTGAAGGGACGGTGGAAGGGACAGGGGAGGGGATGGAAGGGGAGGAGAGTTAGCAGCACTGTGTCCGGCATGCCCACTGTCCCCTCTTCCCTCACGCACGCCAGAAAAACTCGTAAGCTCATGGACTCTCCCCTCAGTTTGGTCCACCTCGCCTCACATTCCTCTCCCAGCGTTCACCCAGACTCCAGGTGTCAGGAAGACCCCGAGTCTCTCAAATCTTACGAGAAATCTCCCATGTTGACACGTATGAAGGAAATCTTACATTCTACCTCACAGTAAGAGAGTAAGACACACACAACACGAGGTTCTCACTGCGTTAAACACATCGGTAGCGAACGAAACCCACAGCAAACACGCAGCCTGATGCCTCGTTTCCCCTTCAGCTGCATTTGCCGTCTGGCGCGCATGAGTGACGCACGACCGGACCCTTGATGCAATGCAACTGCAAATCTTGCCAAGCCCCTGCACGTGGCTCTCTGTTGCCAGCTAGCGATATCCACATGGAATAACCTTCCAATGACTATTATATATGTTCCGTATTCGTTTTCTTCTGTAGCAAAAAGTTGTCCATATATATTCTTCATATTTACTTTCACTTCACCTATTTATCTTCAATTTATATTTATCTCTCCCACCTCTATTTTATCTCCAACTCTACACTCCAACATGACAGCTACCTTGGAGACGCCTGGGGTCAAGTCCCATGTCTGGGGTAACACGACACCCACGGACAAACAGGTTGTAAGTGACGCCCGTACAGTGGTGCTGGTGGTGGTGTGGTAGTGGTGTGGTAGTGGTGGTGATGTGGTGTGGTGGAAGTGGTGGTGTGATGGTGGTGACATTTGGTGGTGCGTGGTGGTAATTTTTTTAATATACCGCACACAGCAGCTAGTTTACTGTGCACCCTCATACTTATCCCGTGAGTGATAGCGCAAAAAGGATTACATAGTATAGTCACAAAGTGTTTATCAGTAGTAAGTTGGCGGTGTGGTGTGGTGGTGGTGGTGGCGGCGTTTGTTTGGGGACGCGCCGAGGTTTGGTATAAAGGGTAAAAAAAACGGTGACATCGAGTGGGCAATAACAATACTTTTACGCGTGCAACATGTGGCAGGAGGACCGCTGGACCCCCCCCTCCTGACCCTCCTCCCCCACCTCTACCTCGGCTCTAATCACCCTCCTTACTCTGGGTATAAGGTCTGATAGATCTGCTCTCTCCTTTCCTTTTCTCCATTTCTCCTCTCCCTATTCACCCTCCTTCCCTCTCCTGCACCAACACCATATCTTGGTCATATCTTACCATACACACTCTATCTTCGCCTTCCGGTCCCGTCAGGCTGTGGGTGTGTCATCACAGTGTCGGGCGAGTGTATGGTGCTCCCTCTCTGTTTCACTGTCAACTCTTCACAAAAACAACAAAACAAAATAAAGCGATAAGTTACAGAAGATTGCCCTCCTCCTCCTCCCTCCTCCTCCCTCAACCACACTTCCACTACCCCTCTCTCTTTCCTGTCCTCCTCTCCTTCACCCTCCTATTCTCCTTCATCACCCCCTCACCCACCTGTCCCCCTCCTTCTTGTTATTCTGGACAGGTGAACACAAAGCGGTGTGATCACTGAGCGAGTCTCACCTAACACTGTGTTCTGAGACATTCACTACGTCTCAAGTTTTAGGTCAAATTCCTCGGGTTTTTTAAGTTAGCAGCTCACGAATGCACGAAAGGACCCACACAAAGGGAAACGCACGAATGGGACCACACGGATGGTAACGCACGA